AGCTGCGATGGGCAGGGCAGAGAGTAGTATTGGTCATTGTTCCCTCACTGTCACAAAATACCGAGAAGAATGAACTTACAGAGAGAAAAGGTTCATGTGGGCTCCCCGGCTGAGATGTTCTGGTCCATATTTGGGCACACCATTGCCTTTAGACCCACATCAAGGCAGCACACTATAGCTGTACCAGGAATGGCACTGTAGGCATACAGAAGCACACAAGGCAGACACCGTCCTTCGCCCAAGAGCTAGGGCTACAGATGGACACGTATGGGGAAAGCACCCTGCTCATTGAAGTAACTGGGCTTGTCAGCCTCTCTAGGGTCACTCCTCCCCATCCCCACCTGTAAAATACAAATATTGCCTTCCTCCCAAGATGTTTTGACATTCTCTCTCTCTCTCTCTCTCTCTCTCTCTCTCTCTCTCTCTCTCTCTGTGTGTGTGTGTGTGTGTGTGTGTCTGTGTCTGTGTCTCTGTGTCCAAGTGCCTGTGAAGGTCCGCATAGGTTGGTAGTAGAGCTGTAATCTGACTTGGGTGCTGGGAACTAACTCTGGTCTTCTACAAGAGCACCAAGCAATCTTAGCTGCTGAACCATCATTGCCCTATAAAAATATATTTTGTGTGTTATTAACAGTGCCTGGGATATGAGAAGGAAAAGCTAGGTGGCTATAAATTCTTTCGTGCTTCAGTATAAAGTACTTTGGTGTGTGTGTGTGTGTGTGTGTGTGTGTGTGTGTGAGAGAGAGAGAGAGAGAGAGAGAGAGAGAGAGAGAGAGAGAGAGAGAGCAGAAGATAAGAATTTAAATTCTCAGTGGGAAGTGGTGATGCATGCTTTTAATCCCAGCACTTAGGAGGCAGAGGCAGGTGGATCTCTCAGAGTTCAAGGCCAGCCTAGTCTATAGAGTGAGTTCTGGAACAGCCAGAGCTACACAGAGAAACCCTTCTCAAAAAAACTGAAAAGAGAGGGAGAGAGAGAGAGAATTTGAATTCTCTCATGGTGGATTGATATTTTCAGACTATTCTTTATTCTAAATGTCTTGGTCTTTGTGTTGTTCTTTGAGTTTAGTACTCAGTGCCTATTTATAGTGTAGGTACTTGCCTCATCTAGGCTGCAGGTTTATAACGTAGCCTGGGTTTTCCTTGGAGAAAAGCTGTCTCAGAGAGATCCCTGTGTTTTCAGAGGGTGAATATACAAAGAACAAGCAACATTGTCCCCACAGACTCTCAGTAGCATCCAAATGAGAAGAGTCTGACTTAACGTCAGCACCCAAATTAACTCAAAGAACATGAAAGTGAGGAAAAGTAAAATATCTCCAAACAACAGCATGGACAGAGATAATTGGGAAGGCAGAAGGCATGGGAAAGAGTTGCCTGTTATGATTTAGAAGATAATCCCAGCACTGGCAAAGTTGAGAAAAGTTGATGGGTTGTTCCTTTCCAGCCTGGGCCATACAAGGAAGTCAAATCTCAAAAATAAAATAAAATACAACTTAAAGAAGAGAAAGAAGGGGAAGGTGGTAAGAGGAAGAGAAGAAATGGAATGCGTGAGGCCCAGTGATTATTTTTGTGTGCACGAATGTCTCCATGTGTCGGTTAATATGACTCAGGCCATGCCGGAGTGCCCAAGGATGAGCATGGTTGAAAGATGTCCCACCTCCTCAATGTTAAGCAGCAAGTGAGAAGAGAAGACTCACAGAGGAGGGGTATTTCCTTGAGATGATCATCACTGTCTCAAAATAGTCCCTCAGCCCTATAGGTCATAGTGGTGGTATTTGGCCTGTCTAGAAAACATGCAAAGTAGCTGTGGATTTAATCTTTAAGAAGTTAGCGGCAATGGAAAAAGAAAGGTCTGAGCTAAGGATAGAGCTGGGTGGTAACACATTTGTCTGACATTCATGCTGCCCTGGGTTCAAACCCCAGTATTGGGGGTGGGGGAGAAAAAAAGGAAGAGAGAGAGAAATGGCAGGCGCCCACACCTTGATCATCAAAGATGGTGAGCTGTTGACAAATCCACCTGAAGGTGTAGGTTTTGGGAATTTAAAGTCAATGCTTTTGGTTTGGGAGCACGTTAGATTAGGGATGCCTATGAAGGCTAAGTCAAAAATAGGAGTTGACGCCTTGAGATGTTATTTTGGGGTTGAAAATAAATATGTGACAGTAATCTTTGAATGGTCATCGTATCTTGAAAATAAATGAAGCTAGTTAAGATTCTATCTAGAAAATTGAGACAGAACTAGCTAAGGATAATGTGACAGTTGTCAAAACTACTTAGAGCCTTGGGCCTTTTCTTCTGTGTGGTTGTGAAGGACTCCAAGAAAAATAAAAGGGGATATGTCCTTGTCTTCTATTTTGGTCATTAATGACTCAAATATGCCAATTTTACCGAAGCAGTGTAACATACAAAACAGAGATTACTAGATCTTAGAAACAGGTTGATCAGAATTTGAATTCCAACACTGAAATTTACTAAATGAATGCAACTTGGGCTTCAGTATCTTCATCCAGTATAACATACTGATGTCTTCTACAAGTGACCACCATGAAACTAAATAGCTTATACTGAACAGTAGTACGTGAATCCAAAATGCTCATGATTCTAAGGAAAAGTCAAATGTGTGTTTAATGAGGAACCAGATCTGCTAGGAGCAGATGCCCAACCAGAAACTGTATTTCCCAGGTTCCCTTGTGTTTGGTGTCTGGGTACTGGAACCATGGTGAGAAGATGCCACATGAACCTCTTCAGGTCTGATGCACAGAGTCCGCCATGCAGCAGCTCCCATGACCTCTCCCTCCTTCTCCTTCTGGATGGGGTAGAGGCGGCTTGGGGGTAATCCTGGGAGTCAGAAACTGGATGATGGAGTTAACAGAGCCTGGATCCAGGACCCATCCATGAAAGGAACTCAGGCTGCTAAACAACTCTGAGGGATTTACATTCTCCATGAGGCTTCTTCCAGAAGGTAAGAAGTTGATAGGGCCACGGTTAGACAGCACAGGCTGCCTACCCTGCCAGACACACTGATGCACAGCTTCGAGACACCGCTGGGGACAGGAAGTTGGAATCTGCATAAATGTGGCCAGTAAGGAATTGCCAATGGGGACGTGTCACCGATGTATGATTTTTTTTTCCCCACTTTTAAGTGACTTCCATTGTAGCAGCAGCAGGAGCTCTGTCACTCCAAATCTTAACAAATCTGACATGTACATACATGCTCTCTCTCTCTCTGTCTCTGTCACTTACACACACACACACACACACACACACACACACACCAATGTTGAAGCAGCCACAGACCAGCCACAGTTGGGAGGGGGCACATACCAAAGAAGAATGAGATTCTATTCAGATTCTTTAAACTAACGACGTATGTCCCAGGTGTAAAGGTGAGGTGTGCTGGTGTGCATGAGAACGGCCCCATTGGCTCCCATGTTTGGATGCTTGCTCCCCAGTTGGTGGAACCGTGTGAGAAGGATGAGGTGGTGGGACCTTGTTGGAAGATGTGTGTCAGTGGAGTTGGGCTTGGAAGTTTGGAATGACTCCCAGTGTGCTCTCCGGCCCCTGGTTGTGGATAAAGATGTGAGCTCTCGGTTGTTCCCACCACCATGCCTTCGCGCCGCCATCATAGACTCTAGCCCTCTGAAATCATAAGCCCAATTAAACATTTTCTTTTATAAGTAGCCTTGGCCATGGTGTTTTGTTACAGTAATAAAAAAAAAAGCAACTAAGACAGAAGGCAGCTGAATTCATTATAATGTAAATTGATCAAAAGGCACATAGTCCTTGCTCTTTTGAGGCTTCTGTTAGTTAAACACTCAAGCACATGTGATGATACACCTTTAAAATAACTCAGATCGCCAGGCGGTGGTGGTGCACGCCTTTAATCCCAGCACTTGGGAGGCAGAGGCAGGCGGATCTCTGTGAGTTCGAGGCCAGGCTGGACCGATAGCCTCCAAAACAATACAGAGAAACCCTGTCTCGTAAAAAAAAAAAAAAAAAAAACAACAACAACAAAAAAAACCTTAGATCATTCTCTCCAAATATATACCTGTAAAGAAGCTAACATTTAACCATAGTGGCTTGGATCCTGACTCAGAGGATAGCTCACTGAGATGAGTCTGAGTAAATCCCAGTGAACTACATCATACCAGGAGTGTTGGGGGATACTGGAAGCCTGACGGAGCCAGTGGTGAGACCAGAAGCAAAGGGGTGAGAGGCAAAGCTGTCAGAGTTTTTCAGAGTTTAGAAAGAAAGCCATTGGGTGAGAAGGTTGAGCCATGTGCAAGGGGATTCCCCATGAAAGGCAGATATTTTACCAACCACAGCAGGGTAAAAATAGACTTTAATTTACCTCTTTTTTTTTTTTTTTTTTTTTTTTTGGTTTTTCGAGACAGGGTTTCTCTGTATTGTTTTGGAGGCTGTCCTGGAACTCACTCTGTAGACCAGGCTAGCCTCGAACTCACAGAGATCCACCTGGCTCTGCCTCCTGAGTGCTGGGATTAAAGGCGTGCGCCACCATCTTCTGGTTAGTCATCTCATTCTTGTTGGCAGTTTTGTATTAGCCAAAGGTTGTAAGACACCACTCTTGAAACGATGTCCAAAATAGAACACCAGGCTAAAAACAATTAAAAAGTGAGTGCCTAATGGGGTATGCAGACTATGACTACATGTACACACGAAAAGAGTGGGAGTTGGCCAGGCAGTGGTGTTGCACACCTTTAATCCCAACACTCGAGAGATCTCTGTGAGTTTGAGGTCAGCATGATCTACAGAGTGAACGTCAAGACAACCAGAGCTACACACAGAGAAGCACTGTGTCAAAAGAGAGAGTGAGAGAGAGAGAGACAGAGAGAGAGAGAGAGAGAGAGACAGAGACAGAGAGACAGAGACAGAGAGAGAGGGGAAGCAACTTAACATGTGCATGTTTTTTGCAATGAAGACTGTCTTTGGAGGAAATTGGCAACCATGAGGAGACATCAGACAACTGAGGACAAAGTTGGGTCCATGGTTCTGTTTTCACTGCATTTTATTTCTGGTTGATTTTTTTTTTTAAAAATCATATATCTGTTTATTATCTTTACTGAAAAATAGTAATAAATAGCAAGAAAATAACCTGTAAGGCTTTTGTTTTTCTTTTGCTTTAGGAAGTCTGATACACACACAGACAAACAGGAATGCACTAGAGAATAAGGAAGGGGTAAATAAAACTGGATGCACATTTGAAATCTGCCACCGTCTCCCCTGAGTCCAGTTTCGCCAGGCCCTTCCAGAAGTTATAATTGGCTGTGCACACACACAAGCCTACAGGGAGGAAATGAGGTAGTCAACAGGCTGTTGACGGTGCACTGGGGCTTACATTTCATATTCTAAATTGATAATCTTCTCTGGGGACTTGGATTATTATGCATTTTTTGAGCTAAATAGAATAAAAAGATTATGAAACTTTGATCAAAAGTCCAGGAATTGCCCTTGAAGTACCTCTGGTAAGGTCAGCTGGCCTCATCTGTACAAGAGACCTCCAGTTTATCTAGAATTTTCCACCCACCACGAGGGTGGTCATCACAGAAAAGTCCAAGTCTAGGTGCCCTTTTCCAGCATTATCTCCTTCCTCACTGTTAGTATTCAGGCATCTGTCCTGTCCTGTCCTTGGGGTTCTGACAGGACACGCCCTCAGCTGCAGCCACTAAGAGCACCACATTCACTGTGCTCCCTTTTAAAAGGGACCTGCCCACCTCCCATCCTCCCCCCCATTCTGTTTGTCTGCCCCCCCGTTCTCTCCCCCTCTTTCTTCTTTCCTGCTGCTCCTGTCTCCATAGGCTGGTCTTCCTGCTTCCCTTTCCCCTTTTTATGATTCCTTTCCCTTGAACCCTGTAGCATGGTGTCCTTCTCTCAAGCACTGCTTTTCTTAAATTACGACACTCACCACCAAGACTTGCTTTTTGTCTTGTTTTGTTTTGCTGATGACTTTGTGATAGCCCATTTCCAGCAGGGAGAGAAGGAATGGAAAAGTTTTGTCCCTCTTCCATGATTCTGCACCTCATCTGGGAGCCAGAACATTAGCAAAGGACCTGTCATGAGGCAAAACAAATAGAAACCAAAAAGAACCACAAAAATAGCAAGGCTGGGCTGTTCAAGATACTGTGTCATTAAGTGTGATTTCATCAGCCCTGGGCTCCAGGGGCATGATTTACACAAGCCAGTCAGCCTGCTCATGGTGGGAATTCATTTTTATAAAAGATAGCAAGTAGGTTTATTCTGACCTGTGACTATGAGTCACCATATTTGAAGCCGTATGACAAACACCACCAGAAACCAACAGATGACCTTGGCCATGGGACTTTTTATTCTTTCAGGAAAAACCAAGTGTGTTTCCTGACTGCAATACTGAGGGCTGAAAAGTCTACATCAGATTGGTAAAAGATGTGTGGGCCCGTAAATTGAGACAACCAGAGTGAGCCGTCACCGAGGCCCTTCCTCCTCAGCAAGCCTGTGATTCGGTGCCCAGGGAAACTGGAGGAGGAAGTACAGAGGTTCTGACTAAAACTGAGCTGCAGGGGGAGAGGAGGGTAAATTACTGCCACCACTAAAATTACTACAGATTAATAGGCTGAAAGCTCAGCAATTGCTTCCCCCTTCTGAGTCCTTCATACTGTGACAAAACACCTTTTCCAACAGGGAACTGAGGAGGAACTGATGGGTATGGGGGAACTTGGGATGCTCTGGGCTGTCGGCCAGGGAAATGAAAGAATGAACCTGAGTCTGGTACCCTGTGAGGTCAGAAGTCACTCTCTTGAGGGGACACTTGCCCTCCATAGTCTGTGAGCTTGCTTGCTAAACTGGGAGAGCAGCTTGCTAAGATGGCATCAGCCCTCCCCGTCCTCCTCCTCTGGCCTTCCAGTCTGTTGTACATTTCTGCTTCTTGCCTGAAAGCCCTGCCCGACCTACCTACCACTCAGTAGTGAGGCAGGAGAATATCTGTTTCTGAACCCGGAGAAGGAGATGGGGAAGAGCACAGACTCCTGAATGCAAGGCAGAAATCTCGGCCTCACCCCCTCCCCAGACCCCAATATACACACCCACAAAATGAACACAACTAGATCCATTTCTAGGAGCATGTTTTGTTTTTAATTTTAGCCCCAAATCAAACTGTGTCCCCACCCCTCTCATGTGTGTGAACATGTAATGCTTGCTTATGTTCATAGGTAAGAGAAAAGTCTGGGGAAATGCCAGAGAAACAGACAACGCTGCTTTTCAGGGAGAGGGCTTCTTGGTTTGAATGTTGAATGGTAGGTAGAAGCATTCCTCATCTATTGATCTATATGTAAATCTATACGAATAAAATGTAGAGAAACAGAATTTGGAAAAACTTAGTCCTGTCCCAGGGCACTATTAGATGTATTGGAACCTGGCTTCTACACTGATTCATTTGTTCATTAATTAAAAAAAAAAGGTGGTGGGGGGAGGATCTGTTACGATGGTGCATACCTTTAACCCCAGGACTTGGGAGGCAGAGAGAGGAGACGTAGTTTCAGGCCAGCATGATCTACATAGTGAGTTCCAGGCTAGCCAGGGCTACAAAAAGAAACCCTGTCTAAAAAAAAAAAAAAAGGAAGGAAGGCAGAAAGGAAGGAAGGAAGGCAGGAAGGAAGGAAGGAAGGAAGGAAGGAAGGAAGGAAGGAGGAAGAAAGCAAATGCATTTAACTGACGATTTGTCTTATAAACCATGTTGAACTTAATGTGATAGTAAGTCAAGCTAAGGATGGAAATGTGTAGATGGGAGTCATAGTGGACTATCTCATAACCAACCCCACACCCTCCTCCCATACTTATACTCCCTGCTTCCAACATGTGATAAAGGGGCTGATTTGTTGTCTGGTCATGAGCCCAGCTTTTAAAAGGCTGAACCATCTCTCTAGCCCTTAAAGGGCTGGTTTCGAGGCTCAAGAACATACAAGTCTTCCATATTATTTTTGTGTCAAAGTAATTGTGATGCAGACTTTTCTGTCCTTTCAGTTCTTGCCTCCTGTACAGGAGGAGAGCTGAACCTCAGGGACAGAGGGGAGTGAATGAACTAGTTAAGGGTTTGTGAAGTGAAACATGGAAGAGAAAGTTTCCCTCTGACAGGGAGAGGTCCTAAGCAGGTGTTTTCCAGACCTGGAGGTAAAGTTCCTGAGATGATATACACACCATGCTTTGAAGTTAACAAAAAAGCTGTGTGTGTTGGGGCTTGCCTGTGTATGTTAACGAGGTAAAAACTTGGAGGTCAATCATGAAAGAAAGGCCAGTATTCTGGTAAGCCGCTGAGAAGCTAGGGTCTGTGAAGTCTGTTCTACATGGCAATGGGGAAGTTCCACACAAGGAAGGAGATGCAGCATCACCTAACTCGGTCCATGGTTCATTCCTGTTTCATGATGTGCGACACAATTTCACCAGGAGACCCCATTGTTCCCTCTATCTGCCTATTGTTGGACTCTACGTTTCAACTGTAGAAAACACTTTTAAACATCTCCCGCCCACAAAGAAGAAATGATCTATAAATTCTCCAATCAGAATCAACCACTTGAACAACACCATCTTTCAGCTGGGAGGAGTATCACAGACGACATCTTGGTCACATATGACTAAGCCTCGTGCATGAGTTACGTTTGTGTCACTGTGACAGAATTTGTGACATTTAACAATTGGTGGGAAGAGATATTTTGTTGCTGCCCATAGTTTGAGAGGGTCTCAATCAGGCATGACAGAGAAGATACGGTGGAATTCATGGGATGATGGTATAAGGGAAAGTTGTTCACACAGTGGCAAGCCAGGGAGAGAGAGAGAGAGAGAGAGAGAGAGAGAGAGAGAGAGAGAGAGAGAGAGAGAGAGAGAGAGAGAGAGCTAGAATGAAGTAGGGATGACTGTATAAACTTTTCAGTCTGCTAGGCCCCTCATCGACTAAAGGCTCCAAAAACTTTCAAATTAGTGTCACCCCTGGAAAACAAACACTGGAAACATGAGTCTGTGGGCAATATTCCAGATTCAATCCATAACACCGCCATATAGAATTAGCTTAGAAAGAGCAAACCCTTTTAAAAGTCAGCCCTAGTCCACAGTTTGATGCTCTGACTTATTTCCCACTTGAAACCTTTCAATTAATATGGAATTAGAAATAAAATAATTACAAATCCAACAGACTACTAAAAAACGAAGCAGGTTTAATATGCCATTCCAAAGAAAGAGACACCAGCATAGAGAATCGGCAAACATGGCTGGCAGGCTGATTTGGCACAAGGCAATGGTTTTTTTTAAAATCCCTGATTGACAGTCATTCCTGTTTTCTCTCCCACAGGCCAGGAATTTCATTTGTTTGGGGCACAGAGCCTTATCTAAGAAATAGTTTGGAGGCTGAGACTGCCCTTTTTTTCTGATCATGGGCTTAGTGACATAACTGACTACTTGTGACTGTTTAGCTTCCAGAGTTCTGAGACACCAGGCACCAGACCAGATAGGGGAAAGATAGCACCCCTACCTCTCCACTGCTCTGATAGCTCTAAACACACCTGTATTGAGGATGGACCTTGATAAGCTTACATATAACATTTTTGGCTTTATCGAGGAAGTCGAAATCTTTGATCCATTCAGTATGAGAAGTTCTCCAGGATTTCTTCAGAAAGTAACCTGATAATTTCTAATCTGGACAGACTGGGGTTGTAGTTTCCCAGAAAAAGAGGACGTGGTCACTGCCAACCACATCAATGAACTATAGCAGTCATGGGTTCTTCATGTCTGTTACCAAGGGAGAAGTTCTGGCCATGGACAAGATCCTTTAAAACAAATGCAGTCTCCTGTTAAAGAGAAGCTTTTTCCTTGAGAGAAGCCGTTCCGCCCGCCTGGTTCTAGAGCCGAATCAGTCCCAAATAAACACACAGGAGGCTATAATAATTATGAAGCTGTTGGCCTTGCTTGTTTCTTACTGGCTAGCTCTGACTTAAGTATTTACCCCATAATTGTTAATCTAAGTATGTCTCTTACCGGAGAGGTTTCCGGGCTTCCTACCCCAATGGCGGTTACATCTCGAACTCTCTTGTGTTTCTCCTTCCCAGAATCCTCCTGGACTCCTAGCCCCACCTATCTAGATTCCTATTGGCCAGACAGTCTTTATTGATAAATGCACAGGACTTCCCCCAACAGTCTCCATCCAGTTTCCTTCAAAGAAATAAAACTCCAGCACATTTTATTGTACTGTGTTTGTAAAGGTGACCTCCCTCTGTAGAGTTAATGTTAAAACAAACCCAGAACAAACCGGAGTAGCACAAATAAGTTGAGGAAGGTGTAATTGTTAGCACTACTTACACTATGGTTCCCCAGTGTGTTACACAAAACACTTACAGTGAAAGGGAGAAAAATATGATCTTTTTCCTCATCGCCCGTAAGTTTGCAGTTGCCACTGGCAATTGAAACAAAAGGCAGATCGATGAGAGGAAAGCAAGCCTACTGAACAGCGTGTGTGCCATTCTTCATTCTGGAGAAACCTCAATTCAGCATTAACTCCAAGCAGTGGCTCAGAGTCTAGCTCATACACCACCTTCAACAAGGAATGATATATTTTAGAGAAGAGACGGGGCAAGGGAGTAACCGGCTTTGGTTTCTGAAAGTGGCAACACCAACGGAAGACTGAGTCTCTAAATCGCTGGCTTTTCATCTGTGAAATTAACCTCCTGGGGAGTTTTTTGTGAAGAAGAGGAAGAAGAAGGAAAAGGAGAAGGAGAAGGAGAAGGAGAAGGAGAAGGAGAAGGAAGAGAAGACCCCCAAGCAAAGGATGTAGCTCTTGCCTAGCATTTATGAAACCGTGCCTGGCTTTGAGCCCTGGTGTGGTGAAAACTGGGTATCTGTAATCCACACGCTCTGGAGGTGGAAATATTAGGATCAGAAAGGCCATTCTTACATGACTACATAGCAAGCATGGGGCCAGCCTGGCATCCACAAGATTCTGACTCAAAAGTAAATATAAAATAAATAATTAACCCAATTCATACTACTCAGTATACACTTGTGCTGGCTAATTTCATGCCACTTTGGTGCAAGATAGATTTGTCTGACAGGAGGGAACCTCAGTTGAGAAAATGCTTCCATAATATCCATCTGTAAGGTGTTTTCTTAATTAATGTTGATGGTGGAGACCCAGCCCATTGTGGGGGGCGGTATTTCTGGGCTGGTGGTCCTGGGTTCTATAAGAAAGTGGTCTGAGCAAGCCAGTAAGCAGAACTCTGGCCTCTGTGTCAGTTCCTACCTTCGTTTCCTGCCTTGCTTGAGTTCCTGTCCTGACTTCCTTTGATGATTAGCAGAAATGTGAAAGCATAAGCCAAATAAACCCTTTCTCCTGAAGATGCTTTTCATCATGGTATTTCATCTTAGCAATAGTAACCCCAACTAGGACATCATTATATAAATCGCATCTATTATCACATTTGTCCCTACAATATGGAAAGGAGAGTGCCTGTGTTGTGGATAAAGAAATGTTTCCCAGTCTCCTGTATTCTTTTTTTGTTTGTTTGGTTTTTGTTTTTTTGAGACAGGGTTTCTCTGTAGCTTTGGAGGCTGTCCTGGAACTAGCTCCTGTAGACCAGGCTGGTCTCAAACTCAGAGATCCGACTGCCTCTGCCTCCCTATTGCTGGGATTAAAGGTGTGAGCCACCACCGCCTGGGTCTCCTGTATTCTGTCTTTGGGCTTTAGAACCCTTGGCTGTTTGGGAGCCAGAAAAGCAGCAGTTAGATGCTTGGGCTCTGGCTGCCATGAACAGCAAACCAGTGAACAACACATATACCACCAGAGAGGAGTGGACTTTTCTATATAGGATTTGACTAAATAACTGATAGGCTTTCCCTAACTCTAGACAATACAAAGTTAATAGATTTACCTCACCCTGCCCCAAAACTCCAATTTGGGAAGGTAGGCAAAGAGAAGTCAAGGATTTTTAAAATCGCCTTGATCAAGTCATATGTTTCGGCACACGACTGCAGTTTCAGCCACTTGGAAGATAGAGGCAAGAAGATCGTGTATGTCCATTAGCTGAAAAAACAATGGAGGTAGCACATCTTTAAATTAAAAAAATTCCTTAAAAAATACTTTATATGGGCTATGAACACAAGCTTCCCCAGAAACAAAGGGAACATTCCAGTCACTAAAGGATTGAGTAAGTGACTTCAGGGAACTTTAGAGTTCCCAGGCCTTCTATCCCAGATCACTAAGGTCTCATGGTCACAGAGATTCAGAGCTTTCTAAAATGGCACACATTCCCTATGTCCCACAGCAGTGGGAATGTCAGCATGTAAAGAGCTTGTGTTCAAAATGAGCACTTTCCCACCCATGCAGGGACAGAGCTATATGACTGGCCCCGGTCCAACTCACGTGATACGTTCTGTAAATTCTTCCACTGTGTTCCTAAAGCGAATCTATGAGAATATGCACTACACTCCCACGCTTTTCCCCTTTCCCCTGTGCCCTCCTTCCCTTACCAAATAACAATAGCTGAAAAAAAATCGGATGCCTTGGATCTGACTGACAAGTTTTCCTAAAAGAAGTCTCTGTCCTGTTTATTTTATGAGAGAGAAATTAGAAGGAAATGACATAGAACATTGATACATGGCATTATTTTACTGAATAAAATAAGGACTGTATGGGGCTGGAGAGACTGGCTCAGCAGCTGAGAGCCTTGCTTCTCTTGGAGAGAACCCAAGTTCAGTTCTCAATGCCCATATCAAGCAGCTCATAACCACCTGTAAGTCCAGCTTTGGGGGTTTCTATGCCTTTCTTTGGCCTCTGCAGCACTGTATACACATATGCATGCATGCATGCATACATACATACACACACACACACACACACACACAGAGAGAGAGAGAGAGAGAGAGAGAGAGAGAGAGAGAGAGTGAGAGAGAGAGAGAGAGAGAGAGAGAGAGAGAGAGAGAGAGAGAGAGAGAGAGATCCACACATAAAAAACTTTCAAATCAAAAACAAGGACTACAGGTCCAAAGCTAAGTTCTATTTTCACCATTTTAAAAAGAAAAGAATGCTTTGGGAAAATGTATGTGTCCACTCAACCAAAAACACACACAACTGCTTCAGCCCTGCAACTAATGCTGGCAAACTGATATCCTTCTGTAAGCTCTGAATGACCACTTTCAGGAAACCTGTTTAAAAAGACCAAGAAAGCTACATATAAGGGGAGACCTGTTGGATGAGTGAGGCCACTGACCATCAGAGCCAGTGATATTGCCATTGAAAATGGGGCCATACATCCCCCTGGGATAAGGGAGGAGCCACTGCCTGTTATGTTGCTAGTCTGTGTGCTTGTAAATGGAGACTTGTGAACAGACCAGAAATAGCAATTAAATGTTCCAACTAACGTAACGACTGGCCTACTTTTCCAGAGTTTCTCCTTGATTGGTACTGTAAATCTCCCATGATGTGGAAACCACTCATACGGGCAACGTAGGATAGTTGGTCACCTTTGCTATAGCCAAGATATGACACAGATCATCCCTACTCATAACTCAGAGTCCAGAGCCATTCTTGTTATTCTGCCTCACCGTAAGAAAGGCAGGAAGGTATAAACTTAAAATGTGCCCCAAAGTGGAAAGATGCAGAAATATTTGACAAGCAGCATGATTAGCAACTAGTTGATTATTCATTCTCCCATTTTTTTTTTTTGGCTTTTGATTTTAGTTATGTAAATATCTCAGTTTGTTTGTGCTGCTGTAACAAAAAACACTGTATAACTGTTGTGATTTGAATGTGAGATATTCCATATAGGCTCATGGTATTTTAACACATGGCCCCCAGATGATGGAGGATATAGGACTCTCACAGACATATCCATCCTGTGGCCTGCAGGCTGCTCCCATCCCAGGATAGCTACGAACATGGCCCAACACATTGATAGATGACAATAGCATTCCACAATGTCAAAAGGTTGGACAGCTAGCCAGGGTGGGCCCCAGTTGGACAACACAGGTCACTGAGGGGCAGCTTTGCTGATTATAAGTCTTCCTGGTTCCAGCACCCACTCTCTCCTTCCTTCTCTACTGAGACACGAGTCTTGATGCTCCTGCTTCAGTGACTTCTGTCATGCCTTCTCAGACCAGGATGGACTGTGCCTTCTACCATGAGCTGCAACAAACACATCCCCCTGTAGGTTGTCTCTGCCAGGCACTTTGTCACAGTGATGAGAACATGAACACTCATACAGTAATCTACAAAGGATAGAAATTTATTTAACAAATGATTCTGGAGGCAGAGCTCAATGGGTGTAACATTGGCAAAGGCCTTCATGATGTGTTACCCCATGAAAGATGGTAGAAGAACAAGTAAAGACAGGAGAGAGAGAGAGAGAGAGAGAGAGAGAGAGAGAGAGAGAGAGAGAGGGAGAGAGAGATTGCAGTAGGAGACGAAGCTCACTTATATAACAAACCCACGCCCACAATTATGACATTAATTAAATCAAGAAGGTGGAACCCTCTTGACTGAACTGCCCCCATTCTCTTGACTGAACTGCCCCCATTCTCTTGACTGAACTGCCCCCATCCTCTTGACTGAACTGTGAACTGCCCCCATTCTCTTGACTGAACTGCCCCCATCCTCTTGACTGAACTGCCCCCATTCTCTTGACTGAACTGCTCCACATTAGACCCTGCCTCCCCAAAGTGCTGCACTTGGAGGAAAGTTTCAACACATGGCCCTTGGAGACACAATCAAACCATAGCAGTAAGTAAATTCAGAGCATAGATCAATGTGTTGAATTCTTATCCCTTTGCTAAATTATGCAGGAGTTATGGAAACAAGCAGTTATAACCCCTTTCTTCAAAGTACTCAAGGACAATGGGAGACACAAGATTCTAACCTTTTATGGTAAAAGCAAAACACCTAAAAGGGGCCAAGAAATGGCCACCCCAACCTAAAGGGTCACTTGAAGGAATAATCCCAGTAGACTAGCATTACAGCATTTGGACAGAATCATACCTTCTAACTCCCTCCCCTCCAAATGTCTGGAGCTAGAGAGACGATGGCTCAATGGTTAAGA